TATAATAAGGTGAGCAATATTGAGGTTAGGCATCGGTCGAGTGCTAGGTAAAGAAGGGCAATCAATCGACTAGGCTGTGAAATTACATCGACTGAGATGGTTAGGACATGTGCTACGTATGCCTAGTCATCACCTTCCTCGACGGGCAATGTTAGCTGATATAGGGTCAGGCTGGAAAAGAGCTAGCGGTGTTCAAACGAAAACATGGCACCAGTCAATGAAATCTACAACAGTTAGTCTAGGCCACGGAAGGTGTAGACTTCCTGACTGGTTGGGATCCTCAGGACGGTAAAAACCAAAGGTTGGAAACAATTGGTGACATGGCTCAAAATCGTTCTCAATGACAGCGCAGATGTATCCACTCCTTGTGACTCATGATTTCCAATGAAACTGTTTTGTTCTTCGTTATCACTATTCCTTTGTCTCACACCTCTGTTTACTGACTCTAATATGCATTTCTCCTACTTTCTTCTCTGGCTTTGTGTGCTACGTGTATGGAGTGTAGCGACTTGAACTGCCTGACATATGTGCAAAGTTCTATGTCGAAAACCGACCGACCGAAAAAATTTTGCTCATAATCATATCAAGTTACTCACACAACTTCTTTCCTTCATTTATATACATGTGTGGAATCGATTAGATATTGGAATAAAATCCAATATGAGATAATGTACATTCAGAAATAATAGTACGAGTGTTATTAATCCATTGCAATTAGATGGGAAATACGACGGGTGTTTTTATAATCATAATAAGTTGATTGTTAGAATCATTATTATGGAGTTATGCTCTACCACAGTGCCCAAGTTTTATACTTATATCAGTTTGTTTTGTAAGCAGAAGGCACTGAGTTTGAACTGCTGCCTCTGGTGGGCTTGTACCATCCACGAGTCCCAAAATAGGACGAAAAGCTCTCCAGAAATCCCTGGCTCTTTTTCAACTCTCCTCCTTCAACTGATATCAATAACTGATCAAACCTGAAAAATCTCGGTAGATTGTTGAACCCGACCCCTTTTTCCCTGTTTTACACCATTCAGGTATTAAATTCTTCAAAAGAGGAGAATTATAATCCTTTTACTTAGATTACCTTCAAGAAATTGAAACGTCCTACTCTAACTCGAAAGTCGGTACTTCACATCCAGTCTTTAACTCCGAGGTATACTCCTTCACTTTCAGACATCAACCACTCACATTACATCGAAAGTAGTTAACAATGTATTTGAAGGCTACAACCTGTTTATCTCGAAAAATAATTAGCAAACTAAAATCATCATGTTGAATACAATGTGTAGTAATAATGAGTAATAAGTGAGTTCTGAAGTGACATCTATTTACTTATGATGTATGGATTAGTCGTCTTATGTACAGTATGAAAATTGTATGTATATGGCTATGTGGAAAAAGAGATTTTTGGCGCTAATATAAAAAATAAGGTAAGTCTTCAATCTAGTCTAAATATGGTCTCCATATCGGTGGCGATGTTGTTGTTGTTGGCTTTACGGTGTCATGGTTAGAATCACAAGAAACAAAATTAGTAGGAGTTGTTGTCGTTGTTGGTGGTAGTGCTGTTGCTATCATAGCTACTTTATACAATGATTTAGTGAATTTATGAAGCTTCTTCGTCGCTGACGTCGATCGTGATGACGAGGAGCGGTAGGAGGAGAAGGCGGAGGATGATGGAATGTCATTCCTGGTAGGAGATGAAGATGTCAGTTTATACAAACTATGACGCAGTTTCTTCAAACGTGCTTGTAGTTCGGGTAGCTGCAACCCGTCCTACAAGCACGTTTGAAGAAACTGCGTCATAGTTTGTATAAACTGACATCTTCATCTCCTACCAGGAATGACATTCCATCATCCTCCGCCTTCTCCTCCTACCGCTCCTCGTCATCACGATCGACGTCAGCGACGAAGAAGCTTCATAAATTCACTAAATCATTGTATAAAGTAGCTATGGTAGCAACAGCACCACCACCAACAACGACAACAACTCCTACTAATTTTGTTTCTTGTGATTCTAACCATGACACCGTAAAGCCAACAACAACAACAACATCGCCACCGATATGGAGACCATATTTAGACTAGATTGAAGACTTACCTTATTTTTTATATTAGCGCCAAAAACCTCTTTTTCCACATAGCCATATACATACAATTTTCATACTGTACATAAGACGACTAATCCATACATCATAAGTAAATAGATGTCACTTCAGAACTCACTTATTACTCATTATTACTACACATTGTATTCAACATGATGATTTTAGTTTGCTAATTATTTTTCGAGATAAACAGGTTGTAGCCTTCAAATACATTGTTAACTACTTTCGATGTAATGTGAGTGGTTGATGTCTGAAAGTGAAGGAGTATACCTCGGAGTTAAAGACTGGATGTGAAGTACCGACTTTCGAGTTAGAGTAGGACGTTTCAATTTCTTGAAGGTAATCTAAGTAAAAGGATTATAATTCTCCTCTTTTGAAGAATTTAATACCTGAATGGTGTAAAACAGGGAAAAAGGGGTCGGGTTTAACAATCTACCGAGATTTTTCAGGTTTGATCAGTTATTGATATCAGTTGAAGGAGGAGAGTTGAAAAAGAGCCAGGGATTTCTGGAGAGCTTTTCGTCCTATTTTGGGACTCGTGGATGGTACAAGCCCACCAGAGGCAGCAGTTCAAACTCAGTGCCTTCTGCTTACAAAACAAACTGATATAAGTATAAAACTTGGGCACTGTGGTAGAGCATAACTCCATAATAATGATTCTAACAATCAACTTATTATGACTATAAAAACACCCGTCGTATTTCCCATCTAATTGCAATGGATTAATAACACTCGTACTATTATTTCTGAATGTACATTATCTCATATTGGATTTTATTCCAATATCTAATCGATTCCACACATGTATATAAATGAAGGAAAGAAGTTGTGTGAGTAACTTGATATGATTATGAGTGGCAATAATTTGTGCTCGAAACGTGCTCATCAGTTAATATAACTGTGCAACACTGTGTGATTTATCAAAATAAAATCTTGACCATGATGGAGTCATAGTCAACCACATTGCTCAAGTTTTATACTTATATCAAAAGTAACATACTCGGGGTTCAAGCTTTATTCCTTAGTTCTCATAATTCATGTACCGTACGACAATATACTTGGTTTCTGTTGCTGGGAGAACCTGGAAGTTGTTAGGTTGGACCTCTTCTCAACTGTCCTTTTTTGATAAGCTCTCAGGTGTGTTTACTTCCGTTGTTGGTTGTAACGTGTGACACATTCCTTAATATTGTTCTGCCATGTAGAATGTGTGCATTTTTGTCTTATAAGCGAAAAGTACCTCAGGTGGTTCCTGACTATTGTTGGTTGTATTTGATGAGTCTTACTTTATTCCTTTATAGAGGCTGTGATAGATGCATTCACTTAACCCTATGATTTGTAGTTAAAGGTTATTTTGATTATTCATAGGTTTCTCCATTTTTGTTAATGAGGATAGATACACTTGGTGTTCTTGTGGTCTTGTTTCTAGAAAGATGGAGTGCAGTTTGAAAAGCAACGTCGTACTTCCTATGGTTGAGGCTTAGTGGCATTTAGCTTTCAATAGGATCACAAGTATTAGTCAAAGTTAGATAATAATAATAATTATAGTGTATTCTCATTTTTGTACATGAGGGACGCCAGTTTACAGGCGTCATCAATTCGATAAATTACACATACGAATAGTAAGTATAGTCAGTAATGATAATATAATAAGGTACATAATTATTCCTACAAATGCAGGACACACAAGTTGTAAAGCCATGGATAAGTATTATTTAAGTTACATATTTAAATTACATGATTTTCGGTGAAATACCATGGTTGCTGTCATTTTATCTTCAGTTTGTGGGAAAAATCGGATAACTGGTGATTCAATGGAACACACCAAGAAATATAGAGATATTGACTTCGCATTAACAAAATAACCCAAGTATGCGTTGGATAAATAAAGCTTGAAGTCAAGTCCCTTATAAAACAATAAAATGCGTCTTACAATAATATATTCCGTCTTTACGCACATGAGTAAATGAATAAATTTATTGTGATAGTACAGTACATGAGGGACGCCAGTTTACAGGCATCATCAAATTGTTATAGAAATAGAACCATATAATTCAATCAAAATTTACACGCTGCAACAAGATATGCTTTACATGTCCGCTGGAGATAATACATCCACTTGATAAATGTTAATCCCAGCAGTATAAAACAGCCTTTTCACTTATATACAATCGTTTCTGTGCACAGTTGGACAAATCTGCTAGATTGTCAGTGAGTGCAACACAACAGGAAATACAGGAGTATTGTCTTCGCATTAACAAAAAAACCAGGTCTTTGGTGGATGGATTATAAGTGCCTGGGAAAAAAAATAAAGCTTGAAGTCAATTTTCATACATAACTTCGTTGTGTGCAGAATCCTTGAATTATTGTTCATTGATGTGTTATTTTGAAATCAGTGATATGTTTATCTCATTTCATCTTCAATGTCATTGTTGGGAGTAAATACATAAGCTTCAGACGCATTAACTAATGGATTTCTACTGCTTGTGGGTATTTTCTTAGCATGAGGAAGGTTTATGAGTTTCAGCTGTTCCGACAGGAGTTGAGAATATTAACTGCTCAGCAACATTATGGATATAAGTTCATCACATTATCTAAGGAAAGGTGAGTTGCAGTTGGTGAGGGATATATGTTGCCCAAAGAGCGTACATCTTTCCATGTGATGTTGTGGTGAGTTATACCTTTTTCATGTTGTCAGTTTATGTCTATTTTATTCCACTTATTGTGTTGGGTAGTAGTTTTACAAACGAGATTTCTTGTCTGTTTGAAGATACGTATCTTAACCGTTAATGTTTTATCTAGAATTATAAATATATAGGCAAAAAACAACAGGTGTAGTATTTAAGCTTATACATTAAATGGTCCTATAATTTCGGAGGCTCTCAGATAGGAACTAGAACTACTATCGTTTGCAAACTCTTGTAGTTTGTCATTAAGCACCTTTTTGAAGGAGGCCAATGTACTTGCTCGACGAATTTCCATTGGTAGTTTATTCCATATCTGTGCATACCTAATCAAGTAAAACTTTTGCCTGGTGGCTGTTTTACATTGTTCGATAGCTACTGTACCCTTAGTGTGTCTTAAGTTGTAGCCATTGTCATCTGAAAGTCGAGTGCCATTAGTAGAGGTAAAAACTAAGTGGTTTAGAAGCTTATAGTAAAGTGTTAAGTTTAGTCTCAGGCGTCTTAGCCATAGTGTTTCTAGTCCTAGGGTATTACATCTAGTGGAGTAGTTCGCACCATTTTCGGTTCCGAGTAATTTTGACGTGAAGTACCTCTGCACTCCCTCGACTTTCAATTTGTCCTCTATGCGTATACTACTATACATGAATGAACAGTAATCAAATAAAGGACGCACACAAACCTTGTACAGCAGAATTCTAGACTCATTTCTGTAGAAGTTCCTGATTAGAAAGCCGATAAGTCAGCGTGACTTTGACACTTGTTTGGAGATATGTTCAGAAAATGATAAGTGATGTGAATATTTCAGCCCTAGGTCCAGTACATATTCCAGTCGTTGAAGTGCATGGCCTTGAATTGTCAGGTCAAGTTCTAAATTGCTGCAACCTATGCAGAGCCAGCCACATTTTTCGACATTAAGTTGGAGTTGCCAGGTGTCACACCATCTATCCATTTTTTCTAATTCTTGCTGTATGGCGTTTACAGTTATTCCAAGATCTGTGTTCTTGCATGTGTACGTCACTTTTAAGTCATCTGCATATAGTATTGGTTTACCTACACTAAAGCATTCACAGATACTGTTTATGTATATTATGAATAAGAGTGGGCCTAATACACTTCCCTGGATCACACCACTACTTACTGGTTTAGGCCTTGAGATTATCGAGCCAACTTTCGTTGTCTGACTTCGGCCACAGAGAAATGATTTTATCCAGCTCAGGAGAGGGTCACATATCCCTAGTGAGCATAACCTGCTGACTAGCAGATTATGGGGAACTCTGTCGAAGGCTTTTGTTATATCGAAATATAGTACAATTACTAGTTCTCTGTTGTCCCTACTTTGTGTAACTTCGTTGAAAAAGTCTATGTGACAGGTCACACATGATCTCCTTTTGAGAAATCCGTGTTGTGATGGATTGATAAGTTCATATTCTAGTAAGTTGTCTGACACTTGGTCTTTAACCACTTTCTCCATTATTCGAGATATTACCGGTGTTATATTGATAGGTCTATAGTTGCATACACTGTTTTTGGCCCCTGCTTTGTGCTTAGGTAATATGTATGTGGTTTTCCACTCTTCAGGATAAGTTCCAGTTTCCAACGAGAGAGAGAGAGTAAATATTCTAAGTAACAAGACTACCATTTCCGTGCTACCATTTTTGTATAAGATAGATGGTATGTCGTCTGTTCCAGTACTACCATTAGACTTCAATGTCTTAATCGCTGAGTCTATATTTTGTATATTAAAATCTATTTCGCCTAATTTTTGGTTACTTTTACAGGTCATTTGGAAATTTTGGGTCGGGTGCACTCTGGCGTCATTGCAAAACCACTCATTGAGGAGTTCACTTATAACCTGGGGATCATTGTATATTATGCCCTTATGTTCCAAGCTGCTTACAGTATTGTCTTTACTGCTTTTTAGACGTCTCTGCAATATCCCACAAAGTTCCTGAGTTTTGGAGTTACCCACAAGCGCTTTATTTTCTTCAAGTTGTGACCTCATTTTGTGTTTATCTTCAAGCCGTTTAAGAGTTTCATGTATTTGGTTTAACGCATTAAATTCCTTAAATACATGGTATTTCCTTTTCAATTTGTTTAGTTTTAGTCGCGTTTTGCGGTCTATAAATGGAGTTGGTGTCTTCAGAGCAGATTTTAGGGGCGCGATTGTGTCTCTTGCTGAGCCAATTGTTTTGTAGAAAATATCAAGTGATGCTTCTAAGTTATCGTTGATGAAGTATTCTTCTCAGTCAGAACTTCTCAACAGATCTGATAAGAATTCCCAATCGGCATTCTTATAGTCCCTATATTGATAGTGCACCGGGGAATTTTTAGGTGTGTGTTTAGTTGTTAGTCGGAGAGGTAGTGTGCAGTACAATATGTTGTGATCACTGTTATCAAGTTTATTTCCTACCTCTATCGAGATGGGCTCTATTTCATGACAAAGGATTAAGTCAAGAGTGTTTTCATTTCTTGTAGGGAGGCGTACGCACTGCTTCCATCCGCCTACGTCTATAGCTTGTAGTAGCTCGTCATGGATTCTAGTTCCTGTACAGGTATCCCAATTTACTCCAGGTAAGTTGAAATCGCCACAGACTACTTTGTAGTCAAAGTCCAGCGTAGCTACATGCCCTAGTATTTCTCCAATAGTTATATCAGTCATTTCAGAGCTATTAGGGGGTCTGTATATACATCCCACGAGAATTTTATTTTCGCTTGTGTGGATGCTTATCCACTTAGATTCAGGGAGTTTGTCAGTAGTTGGGTTATTGAAAGTATTGGAGTTAGTGGATTTAGAGGCATATATTAAGCAGCCGCCTCCTCTTTTGTCAACTCTATCGTTCCTATAGATGTCGTAGTTGTCTATTACTAGCTTTGAGTCAGGTATATCAGTATTAAGCCAGGTTTCAGTCACCATTATTAGTGTTGGCCGTTCTATATATGGCAGGCAGCGAAGCGATGTTATTTTGTTAAGGAGAGATCTAGCATTCAGGAGCATAATCGTTAGTAAACCAGAGTTATTGGAGGAGAGGTTGTAGTGACCCGTTTTATTACTCATCATCGCAATATACTTTCATTGTGTAATTGTACTTCGATTTGTTTATTACTCTAAATCTTGCATGTTAACAATTGATACTTTTTGTACTCGCTCGATTTTTGAATTGTTGATTGCTGCAATAATACACTATCGTATTCCTTCGCAAGTGCCTTTTGAATTACGTTGTGGATGTCGAGTAATCGCAACGTTAGGGCACAATTGTAAAGGCGAAGAAGTACTAGAAGATACGTGTACTCTAGTTTAGTCAAAATATAGCAGCAACAAGGTTAACATGGTTACTTGTTACTATCCCTACGTTATGTTTGGAGGGGCTCTGAGGTGAGACAGAGTCAGTGTGTGTACTATTTCCTGGATGAATTGTGCAGCGAGTGGGGCTATTGTTTGCTGCATACGAAAATAATCCTGTTGCATGTTTTGACTTTTAGCATCCATGGGTGGGCATCTGCGCTCATTTACTGGTGATATATAGTTTGCTTGACCTAGGTACCCTGTGTTAAGATTACCTTGGTAGTTGTACCTCATGGGTCTTTCATAGTCGTATGCATATTGGCTCACATCACATGTGTGAGTGAAGTTATTGAGAGGGTCAAGTGTCGATCTATACTCATTATGTTGCTGAGGTTTAACATAGATAGTGTGAGAGTTTGGACGAGAATATTCATTAATATGATGCCTATATGAGTCCCGTTTAGTGCTCCATATATCCTGATGATCCATTCTACGCTGCATTCCCAAGTTATGTGCGTTGCTAGGCATATTACTCCTAGTTCGGGAAGGGGTATTCTTACTCACATGATGGATGACGTTTTTGGGAATATGGTTTTTTACCCGTGCATTGTCATTTTTTAGACTGACATGTTGCTTATTAGACTTATTGAGAGGGAGGTATGTCGAAGTCTGGAGTGGGACTCTAGGCTTTGTGGTCTTTCTTGCAGTTTCTACTGAGGGACTCTCGGGCTTGCATCCAGATTGAGTGTGGTCTGCCAGTGGTTTCTGGTCAGCCATAGTTTGTGAGTCAATATCAACCTCATGTATGTCAGCAGGTTTTCCAGATGTGCTCTCATGTACTTTAAGATTGCACCCAGTGACACTGCTCTTACTGAGTGTCGAGTCGCTTTTACTTGTCGATTTTTTTCCCAACACTATACAGGTGACTTGCTGTGCTTCAGTGTCCGTCGACACTTTAACACTGATACCAGGTGTATTTCTCGGTGTGTTCAACTTTGTATCGAAGGAGTTCTTGGTTGCTTGCCTTTGGTTAGTTGTTTTATCCGAGACTACTTTAATAGTCTTGAATTTAGTGGCAGTAGCCAGAAGATCTTCGGCCTTCTTAAATCGTTCAGCTATTATGTAGCTGTCGAACCTAAAGAGTATAGGACATGGATGCTTTAGGTCTTTTTCACTTAGGCGAATGCACTAACAAGGTGCACTCAAGAGGTTTGCAGCCTTCAGCAATGAGTGCTGGACCGACTTAATGGGCTCGCTGTCTGGTACATTATACACTATAGCGTTTTGTTTCGAAGCCAGCCTTTTAACAACTTCGCTGGATAGAAAGTCAATGGCGTTTTCTAACTCCTTCGCATTTTTCTGAGTCAGTAGGCGTCATTCTAGAGGTCATATTAAAAAGCTTTAGGATTGTAGGATCCTGCAGTTCCTTTTTCATAAGTGAGATAGTTTCGGGTATACATTCTAATGAACTTAATTTCGTTTTTAATTCATCTATCTGAAGCTGCATCTCTTTAATAATGCATGTTAAGTAAGAGAGCTATACCTTTTCAGACAGAACATCTTCCACCTGTATTACAGGGGTCAGAGTTATGTTCGAGTCTTTTATGTTGGGTGAACTACTCATAATAAGGGGTGGTAGTGTGTTATTAGACGAGCTTGTGCTATTTTCTAAATTACTGGTGTTTACACGAACACTCTTTTTAGAATTTCGGCCCATCGTTATTAAAGATCAATCAACAGTAAGCAATAAATGAATATAAACGAAAACACGTGCAAAAGCGTCACCTGGTTGGAACGTAGATGGAGCCACCTTACCAGCATGTGGTAATAATGATCAGTTGAGATGACTGGAAAATGTGTTACGCATATTCTCGACAGATAAAATTAACTGTGAAGTAAGATTGTATTGAAAGAGAGAGAATTAGAGATAGTCAGGTTGAAATGTCGCTGCAATCCACGAAATCATCTTAGTTGTTTAGGCAGGTGTAGACTGTCTGACTGAAGTCGTCGGTACAGTTGGAAACCTATTTCCATACGACTTATTTCAGAAGTGATAATATTGCAGGAATAGTCACAGAAAAGTGATTACCTCACTAGTCATAAGCTATCTCACAGCTTAGTTAGTTATCCTTTTATCGGATAACATAGTCTTTGGTGCAATCAAGGGCAGACGAATGCCATTTGTTATGTTAACTTTGTGTATACAAATGTATGTGTATCTTCGGTAGCAGTTACATCGGGGGAACAGAAAGAAGGACATACTTCTGATTTTCTGAACATCAACTAAAAAGTATGCCGTGACTGGTTGTGCCGTATATTCAGGTCGTAAGGTGGGCACCCTGAGATTCTTTAAAATTATCAATTGAGAAATAAATCGTTTAATTCCCCTCAGTTTTGCCGAAGCGACTGATATCAAACGCATAAAACCCGATTTATGTGTTAAAAAAGAAGCAGTTATCAGTCCTTCCTTGCCCTTGTAACTCAATGTCTTCACTCCTCCTCCTCTTATTTGATTGCGTAATCTCGCACGCTACAACAATTTTGTTTGTCTTTTGTTTCCATGACTCGAATAAAACTAACCACATTATCACTCAACTTATTAGTTGCTTAGCACCTTATCCACCTCTTGTCTTTATTGGGCAACTCCTTTGCCACTGAATCCAAGCAGTTCATTTTTTATTTTTATTTAACTTGGAACTTCTTTGTGTAAGTTATGAGTGTAATTTGTGAGCAGGGTTGATGAATTGTAAAGTCTCCTATTAACTGACATCATGTTATGTTTACAAGTACATTAAAATTGCTCTGTTCGTTTCATTTTGAACCTATAATGAGAGTATGTTCATCTTTATTGTAAAGGCATCTGTAGTATATGGAATGATATCACCATCTAAAACACTTTTAAACTACTCATTGTTCTAATGTGTAGTCTAATTTCACCAATATTCAGCATTACTGAGCTGTTACTTATTTTATCATATCATTTTAGATAATCCAAAGATTTTGTTTTATTCACACGTCACAAAGTGTCTGCGTAGTGAAGTTGTTAAAAGTAATTAGATATTCTATTTACCTTAGGTCCCCATCTGTTTGTTTTTGACATAGAACTTGGCACATATGTGCGGCAGTTCAAGTCGCCACACTCCCTCCTTGTAGCACACAAAGCCAGAGAAGAAATTAGGAGAAATGCATATTAGAGTCAGTGAACAGAGGTGTGAGACAAAGGAATAGTAATAACGAAGAACAAAACAGTTTCATTGGAAATCATGAGTCACAAGAAGTGGATGCATCTGCGCTGTCATTGAGAACGAATTTGAGCCATGTCACCAATTGTTTCTATCCTTTGGTTTTTACCGTCCCGAGGACCCCAACCAGGAAGTCTACACCTTCCTACATGGCCTAGACTAACTGTTGTAGATTTCATTGACTGGTCTGTCTGTCTGGATTCAACATGGAATTTGGCGCCGAAGTGCAGCACTTAGAGTTGCCATGTTCCAAATAGCACACAAAGGTAGACAAGAAGATGAGTGAAGAGAATCAATCGAGTTTTGACAAGTCTAAGAGTGAAACAGAATGAGTAATGGTAGAAAGGAATATGAAAGATTACAGAGACTGAATACATCTGCGTAAGCCATTGACAATGATTTTGAGCCACGTCGCCTATTGTCTCCAGCCATTGATTCTAAGAGTCCCGAGGGCCCCAACCCGGAACTATGCATCTCCCTACCTGACTCAGTTTAACTGTCAGGGATTTCATGGATTGATGAGGCCATGTTTTGTTTGGCCACCACTTACTCTTTTCCAACCTGCGCCTATATCA